TACAACTTGGTGGCTCTGCAACTTGGCTGAGGATAGTGATGTCCAACTTAGTTGTTTGTAGTTGAGATGTTGGTACCTATACTATAGCTTTGTTTAAGTGGAGGTTGTGTACCGATATGAGTCCATCTCGTAGTCTTCACTTTAGTTTCGACTAAGTGTTGATTACGCATAGTTAGCCTCTTCAAGGCATGCTCAGAGCCGTTGGCTAAATGTATTGGTGAGCTTATTGTGGTTGAGTTGGATTTGAGTGGTCATTTGGTTTGTGCTTGTCTATGAACTTTTATCTCATACCGGAGGTAACACGTTTATGTTGGACAAGTGTATGACTCGATGACGTGAGTTTAGTGTTTGGGTCTCGTGAAAGCAAGTTGAAAAAGTGATGGTTAGTTGCTTTGCAACTAATGATTGCTTGTAGACTTTGTCAAGGACTGTTGACACTTTCTTCGCTCGATGATAATTTAGCAGTGATAGGCTTGCTTTACCGAATGGTGTTGCGGAGGAACGTGTCGTTAAACTTCCATGGGTATTCCATGTTGGCATGTCGACTCTACCTCTGTTGATATCATTTGGTTGCGTTTAGTTCATAGTGTTGGATTTCATGGAGTCTTGGACGTGGTGATTCATTCCTTGAGGAAGTGTTATCTGTACCTGAGTATTGTTGAGAGATTGGTCTCGGATACTAAGTAAAGTATCTCCGACTTTGGTTAGCTTGGTTGCTAGAAAGTTTTGAGTGGTGATTCACTCTTGCTTTCTACTAGCTTTGTTCTGTTGTTGATGGCATTGAAGTGATGCCTTATCGTTGACATTATTGAGGTTGAGATTTTAGTGAAATGGGATGTCTCTCCACAAGATTGATATCGAGTTTCATTAGTTTTGATGGAAATAGTGTTCATGATTTGGCTATGACTTTGTGTTATTGGCATTCGTGCATTTGCTAGTTAGCAACTGTCATGATGTTCACATGAACTGAGTGGCAAGTTTGAGTTAGTTGTGTTCTAGATGAGATTGTTTAGTAAGGGTTAAGCTTTGGCTTTTCCTTGAAAAGTGGTTCAGTCAAGGACTATGCTAACTCTACAAGTGGAAGAGTTAGTGATTGATATTGGAATATTTGAATCCTTATGGGATTTTAGTTGAAATATATTGATCATTGATAATTCTTCTTGTGTTTGTTATGAAGTGAGTTACGTCTTGCTATAGATGGATTCATGGAGGATCGTTTGGTGATCACTTGTTGAGCATAGCTTCGTTGTGCTTAGCTTTTGGATTGATGCAGATATGCTCTTCATTAGCTTTGGCATTATGAAGTTTAGCTTATGGATGTGTTGAGGAAGATATTGTGGATTGCACTATGATTTCTTCAATAACATTGAAGTTAGTTCATGCAAAACTTGTGATCATTATTAGGCAAGACTTGGCTATAAGTTTCTTCGAGCTTTTGGTTCCTTGAGGTTTTATGCTTGTGGTCCATTTGTTAGAAGTTGTTGGGGAAAGCATTTTTGTCTCATTAGCTTCGATGTTGAAGTTGGCTTTTGCATTTAGCAATCATTGGTTATAATTGACTATCATTTAGAATAGTTCATTGTCATTGTCAAAGGTTTTACTTGATTATTATTGGTATAGAATGATTTACCGTTCTTCGGGATGGTAAATTGTTTCTTCGACAATGATAATGCATCTCCTTATTGATAAAATGATTGATGATCTTTCATGGTGGTTATTTGTTCTCTTTGATGGCTTATGGCTTTTCGCAATATCACATGTTCTTTGTGATTTGCTCTGGATTGGTCTTTTGGGTTTGAGACATCAGTAGGATATTACTAACACTTGCTTAGGCAACTTGAGTTCCTTTGTATTGTTGGCTGGGATCTATTCAGATTGGCTTTTGTGATAGTTGGCAGGAATGAATGTTGTTGGTCTTACCACATTTATTCTCTTCTGTTGATTGTTGCTCGAGTTAGTTTTGATAGATTTGGATGTTATTTCCTTTGGGTGATACATTCGCGAGCATTGTGCTTGTTAGTCAATGATACTTTGTGTTCTTTGAGTTCTCTCTAGTAAGTTGTTAACTTACTGTCTACTATCTTCGGTAGTTAAGTTTCATCATTGAGTTTCCTTGATGATATACTAGCTATGGATGGTCATTCCTGTGTTTGCCAAATTATGATGATCTTGGTGGTTCCTGCACTATTATACTGATTTATCAAATGATAACTTTCTTGGAATACTTTTGTGTTCTAATCTAAGATATATTCACTGATAGTTAAGTCTCTAAGATATCATTGTTTATGACTTTGATATTGTCCATCTATTGATCTTTGAGTTTGGGCCAATATAGGCAGACTGGCTTCGGCACTTCGTGTGCATGGTGAAATCTCTAGTCATGGGGTAGCTACTATCGACTGGTCACATAACCCGCCTCTCTGTCGATGTTCCTTATTCCGTTAAAAGGGCGTGACCGTGTAAACAACTCTAACTGCCTGTTTACAGTAGTCTATCTAAACCTTACCGACGGGTTTGGTTTCTTTGCTCATGAGGGTTGGGGCCTCTGGCTTCTCTCTCTATGTCTCTGCGGGCAGGGCATATCACACTTTTGTAAGCTGGGTGACTCCCAGAGCACCAAGGGTGGCTGACTCCGTTAGTCATTTCTTTGTCGGCGACGGCCGGAAGGTGTCTGAGTTGGTAGCGCATCCGCGTTAGACAAAGAGGTTACCCCTAACTCATTTAAGTTGGTGCATTTCTCACATAGTGTGAGTACTGTGAACTTTTTCTTGAGTTGTTTCCTTGGCGGTATTCTAGAGTTGAGTATGCATCGACGAGGACGTCGATCTTCCCTAGGGGGGGAGAGTGTCACGCATGTGACTTCGGGTATCGAAAATTACTTGTCAACCAGTCCTTGCAGACACTTTTACCTTACTGCCACGATGGCAGGAGGTCGGTATTGCTGGTTCCTTTTATCAGCCCCTCTTGTTCAAGTGTTAGTTTACTGGGCTTAGCACCTGTACTTAGCCAGATGGACATAAGGTAGGAACTCCTATGTGTTTCTAGCTGAGCATACTCGGCCTAGCTCTTAGTTCTCTTTTGCTCTGTCTTGCACTGGCTTGACAAGAACCCTCGCGTATTGAGATTGGTCCCTCAATATCGCCGGATGATAGCTTACCATGTTTGCCAAACACCCTCGCTATCATGCCCTTTGTGTTAATCTCAATTCAGTCCCAAATGCTATTTATGGAAAGTGTCCAGATTTGCTCATTTGGCATATCTACGGAATGTAGAGATTGTCCTGAACACAATGGTGTTCGTCCCGTGTCCAAATTTGCAATCTAAGGACATTCCATATTTAGTAAGTTTCAAATTTGTCCCAAAGACTAACTCCTGATACTAAGGGAGGCTTGGGGTGAAAGCCCAAAACTTGTGTTCCTCAAGGGGAGGGGGGGGATGTGGGGGGTTCCAAATGTATAGTAGGGATAGTGGGTAGGTCGGGTATGGCCGACCAACCTAAGGCATAGTCTAGCTCCCGCTTGCGTGCCTATCCTTGTTCTGCGTCCGGCTTGGGTCTAAGCCCAAGTTCCATTCCATGCTAGTTGGTGGAGTACCCATATCCTCACGTTAGGCCACCGGTATGCCGAAATAGCGCCAGACTCCATTTGGCTCCGTTTTGCGTGCTGGTCCTGGCATTGGGATGCTGGTTGCTCCAAGACTGTTCCAAGTCGCTCCGGGCTCCTGTCCCTTCGCTCCTTGGGCTTTATGCTCGGGAGTTGCTCCGTGGTTTGGTTCCGACACTCCTTGGCTCCATGCTTGGGAGTTTGGCACCGTTCTATCATTCAGTGGCCCAAGGCCCTGAACCTCGGGTTCCTATGGACACGTGGCATGTGACACGTGGCATCTGTCACGTGGCACAAAGAGGGTTTAGGTTCCGCTTCGTGGTGTTATCCTATGGTAAATCACCATAGGATAAAGGGTCAAAACCACATGCGCTACACTATGTGGCAGTTTTCCATCATCACTAACAAACACAACAGCAACATCATTTGTCTCTGGAGCATTATAGTGTCGTGGATCAGTTTCTTTAGTTTTTAATAACATATAAATACCACGTATAGGATAACCTGAAAGTGTAGCAGAACAAATTTTTTCTTGTTCCATTTTATACATCATTTTGAAAGCTTGAGCATATGGGTTAACATGACGAAGGAGAGCATCACAATGTTTAAATAAGTTTATCTCACAGCTTGAATTAAAAGGGTTTTGCTTTCTGATATTTGTAGCTTCTAGAGTATCAAGCATATAAAGTTGTCCATAAGTTCGATATTGACCTTCAGAAGGATGTGCTGAAACAATATTATGATATATTTGACCATGGATTTTAAAGCAATAAGGACCATGACCTTTTACAATATCAATATTAGAAGACATAGATACAAAAGCAAGAGCACTATTGTAGTGTTTAATATTTGTTTTAAAATTAGAGTTCTTATTTTGCTTGTAAAGTGAAAGTAAATCAAATGGTAAAGGTGAAATTGGAGGTAATATAACTTGGTTATTCTAGCAACACATTGAAGAGTTTTCATCTTTAAAATACAATGCATTAGAAAAAAGTACAAACAAATGTTAAACTACCAATATTGTTAAAGTCATTATAAATGCTATGGCTTGCTAGTGTGGTATTCATAGGTGGGTGTGGTGGATTTAATATTGCTTGATATATGTAATTGTCATAATTACATAGGTTCCAGATGCTTCTGAGTGTCCAACTGATTGCTATATATAATCATTATCATGATTAATATTTTGGTGTATAGAATCATTATCATGATTATTTTGAACAACTATAGTATGTGTATCATAATCAATCATAGTTTCAGAGGCATCTAAATCTCCATTAGATTGTTTACTATGTCGTATGGTTCTCAAAAGATGGTGGAGGCAAGGCATTTTCAGTCACTTTGATTATATTTTTGATTATATATATATTTTTTTAATTGAGTTTGTATAAAAGTTTATGCAGAATAGAAATGCAGACTACAGTTGGATATATATAAATTTCACAACTATGTAATGATCTGAAAGGAAAATATTAGACTTTTGCGAAGCACACTCAAGAACAACAAAATAACTCCAATATTGTGTTTACCAATCTCTACCTCATAACCCACAGCTTTGCAATTTTGAGCTGCAGCCACAAGTGCTGCTCCTATGCCAGCATCAGGTTACCTGGCACAGCATCCCAGCACAGCATCGTTGAGACCGGCCCTCAAACTCTTGGAAACTGGAACTAAATTTTAGATTCGACAGAAGCAGTATCGGACAGAAAAAAAATCTCATCATAGAATACAAAGATATTCAAACTTACAACTTACCTCGATCTAAAAACGAAGCTAAACCAGGTGATGCTTGCGGTGGCACTTGCTACTTCTCCTTCTCTTTCAAGGAAAAGGATTTCCAAAACTTTAGGAGCAGTGCTAGCTGGCGCAGCCACTCAACAGCCCTACGTCAACTTGAAACACCTGGTTCCTACAAACGGAGTTGATCCCGAGCATGTGCTGAAATAAAAATCCCTCACAGGCCCAGCAGCAAGGATTCCTCGAGAGAATCCAGGGATGAAGAGGGAGTGTCCTTGATAATTGCTTTCCTGTAGGCCAAAGAGCTCATGAGGTAGTGGCGAATAAGGATCAAAGCTTTGCTGACTTGGAAATGAGCCAATTTGCCTCTCACAGTCCTGAGTTGATCCTGAGAAGAGCCTGGATTGTGTGCCCGACTACCATTCTACTCGCCCCTGCTACTTACCAGGCACAGGCTCTCACGAAAAATGCCCACACAACCGTGTCTGACCAGAGCAGCCATGGAGCCCTAGGAGTGCATGGCATAACACTTGTCACCATGCCCTCTTCCCTTCCCGGCCACACGTGCATCCCGCCCATTGGCCACCACAACATTGAGCCGATATTCCCGCTAACCATGGCCACCGGCCCTGGCCCGAGCCTGGGCTGGCCTCCCCTTGCCGAGAACCATGGCTTCCGAGGCTGCCCCGGGCCTGGGATTGGACGGCTGCAGGGGTGTGGGTTCTTCGTTCTTATTGTAAGATATAGTTTTTGATGAAAAGTTTTTAAAGCGCTGATTTTAGGGTTCTTGAGCTATGGAGCGACGATGCTTCACAGGCGCTGGACTTCTTCCGGGTACAGCGCATCGCGCGATTTTCTCTTTCGCGAGCTTGGAAATGTCAATCCAGGGGCGTTTGTGGCAGATTTTGGACACGCAATGGCTCCTGGCACTGAGGAATTTGTCAATGGAGGATCTTCTTCTCCTTCCATCGCATATGAGAGTCCCTTCGGTCCTTTGTTTCTCGTGCATTGACGGCGGGGATGGAAGGCCTTAGGATTGCTGGCCCAAGACGCTCCAGGATTTGCTCTCTCGAGAGGTGAAGGAGACCTCAAAGGTAATTCTTTTCGCAAAACCTTGTCATTGACAATGTTTCTTAGCTTCTCTCAGGAAGTGTTTTAACGCATGGCGTGAACGCCAGGAAACCATGAGGTATGCATCTCCTTCAATCCATCGATCGTTTTTGAGAAAACTCGCGTTTAGATTCTTTCCAGATTGAAGGACTTTCTTCGTTGGTGGTAAACGCGTCGAACGATACTAGCCATTCTTGTCAACCGTTTCAAAGCATCGTGCCACACAAAACCGCAACCTTTCTCGGCGACGAGGACGTGTAGCTGGATGCATTCTTGTCGTCCATTAGAATTCGCGAGCAACGTAAGCCATGACTGCATGCCTGTGGAGATCTCTTGGCGAACATGTTGAGGTGAGGAGCGTAAGTTCTTGAAACACTGGGGCAGGACCTCTGTAAATCGCCAGGACGTCACGGCGGTGATCTCTGTTTGGTGTTGCTAGAATTTGTTATCCGAGAACGACGACGGTGCGAGCAAGTGTGGCTTCCCTTTGAGCAGAGGCATGAAGAGATTGAACTTGCGTCTCGGTGGAGCTGGACGTGATCTTGTGATACAATCTCAATGCCGTTATTTTGTTCCTTCGTTCCTTTGTGCCGATCCCCGAGGAAGTGGAATTTTTTAAAAATGCTTGGCTTCTTTTGATTCTTTTTCAGCTCCGAAGTCAAGAAGAAAACCTATTGCTCTTCCTAATTGTGTGACTTCTCGTGGAATCGATGGTGTATCTGGGGAAGATTAAGGAGCTTCTACTTCCTGAAGTTTTATATTAACAAGAATACCCCTCGGGATTTAGTGTTCCAAACCCAGTTTGAATCGAGAGGATCTATAAATCAAAACATTTTGGTTCAAAGGACCTTTTATTCATGTTTTTGTGGAATCGTTAAAAATACTATAGGAACTTTCAGAAGAACCTACATAGAGCCACAGCGACTTGCTATTTATTAATCACAAGAAAGAAGTCAAAATCAAGCATACTGAATGGAAGCCCCCTTGAATGTGAAGCCAGTCTGTCCGGTCGGCACCAGAGTCACAACGAGCTTGTCCGCTGACTTTAGGCCCAGGATCTCGACATTAGCCTTGATAGAGAAGGTGATGTTCACGATCTCGGTGTGCTCACCGCTCTTGAGAATGAAGTGGGGGACGTTGGAATAAGAGCCCACGTACTCGGCACAGCTGACGCGCGTGTTCTTGTTGGCCTCGGGCAGGTTGATGAACGCGTTGAAGCTCATGGGTAATTGCATGTCAATCTCCATGCCCTCCAGCACCAGGATCTCGTCACAAGCGCTGCCTTTGGGCTGATCCACCGTGATTGTCACCGGCTCCGTTCGAACTTCCAAGGCCTCCGGGTTCTCAGCTGATGCTTTCACCAGCCGATACTCATACGACGATCCACTCCAGGGCGTCTGTTTCAGTGGCTTGGGCTCGTAGGCGATCCAGCTCTTGTCGTCAGGCATCGCCTGGTACTTGTACTTGAGCATCTTCTCGTTGTTGAGGGAATCTTTCACCTTGACGCGAACGAGATCTTGGTTCTCGTCAAAGAAGAGGAACTCGGTGTTGAGGTAGTCCGGGTCTGTGAAGTCCTTGTTTCCCAGAGACCTCCACACGTCCCACATCCGATCGACGTTACCGTGGTGGCAGTAGAAGAGAGGGTCTCTACCGGCCGAGTAGAAGTTGCCCATGTCCTCGTAACCCGGCTCCTTGGGGCTGCCGCAAAATATGTGCAGAGCATTATGTGGCGCCCTCTCCACGCCCCCTGGGCCATTCACGCTGCTGCTGCCTTTCCTGCAAGTATATATGGCTGCTAAAATGGAAGCGCATGGGAATGCACGTACCTGATGGGGTAGCCAAAGAACGCGTCCGGCTGCTTCACCTTTGCGACGTTGTTGTACATGATTGAGAGGTTGTCCTCGCGGATCTGCTCGTCGCTCTTCCCATCAGAGCCGGAGTAGATGAGGTCCACCCGTGTGTCATAGTGACTCGTGTCGCGCTTTTTGTCGTAGAGGGCGATCTCGCGGCGAAACATGTCTGGGATATACCTCCCGCCCTCCTGGTCCCAGCTCCAGAATGGGAGCGCAAAACTAGGATCCCCGATCAGGCTCCCCAAGATCTTCTCGTGGAAGTAGAGATACCAGCGGTGCCACGGCAGGAAGAGCCAGTTGAAGTGGATCTGGAGCGTCTGCTTTGGGGCGCCCTCCTGGCGGTAGCCATAGTTGCAGTAGGCGCAGTGGACTTTGGCCTGATGACGTAAGCTGCGCGGGTCGCCCCGGCTGAGGGCGCGCATCTTGGCGTAGGCCTCGTTGTACTTGGCGATGTAGTCCTTGTCGACGAGGTGGGCAGCGGGGCGGACGCGCATCGGGCCTGAGTCGGGCTTGAAGTCGATGGTGGCGCGCTTGGGCTGTGGGGGGCAGCACCGCCGGTTGATGTCGTCGCTGATGGTGGCGCGGTGGCAGTGCTTGAACGAGGGCAGTCCTAGCGGATCCGCCAGCGCGGGGCTGTCGACTGATGGGGCGAGAGACGCACCACCGGCAATGGCCCCGGCCAGGAGCTCGCGGCGATCGATCGAGGGCGTCACAGGGGAGGAGTTAGAGTTACACGCATTGGCTTCTTTCCTGGCGTTGGCGGCGATCTTGAGCGGACGCGTGCGGGACGGGCGCTGGAGCTCGAGGCGATCGATCGACAGTGCCACCATCCCAGACATGCTCGGTAGCGAATACATTGTCAAAGAAGGCAGCTATACAACACATAGCAGTTGATACTTGCTTTTATAGGGGCGCTCTTGCATGGATCTCGTGTGTAATGTGAACACTTCCGGATTTTTCTGCTAGGGGAGTTGACACTGGAGCTTTTGACACATGCATGCACGAGCGATTGAATTTAATAAACCAATTATTAAGTATCATTGTTAGTCAAGTGGGACACTACAAGTGTCCAACTTGATTAACATCACTTAGTCACTTAAAATGATATTTTATAATGGCTCCTGGCACTGAGGAATTTGTCAATGGAGGACTTCTTCTCTTTCCATCGCATATGAGAGTCCCTTAGATCCTTTGTTTCTCGTGCATTGACGGTTGGGATGGAAGGCTTTAGGATTGCTGGCCCAAGACGCTCCAGGATTTGGAGATGCACATTTTTCTCGAGAGCTCAAAGTTTGAATATCCAAGTTTTATCGAGAGAATCTATATAAACATTTTGGTTCAAAGAACCTTTTATTCATGTTTTGATTTGTTTTTGTGGAATCGTTAAAAATACTATAGGAACTTTCAGAAGAACCTACGCAGCAACTTGCTATTTATTAATCACAAGAAAGAAGTCGAAATGAAGCATACTGAATGAAAGCCCCATTGAATGTGAAGCCACCCTCTCCAGTCGGTCACAACGAGCTTGTTAGGCCCAGGATCTCCACATTAGCCTTGATAGAGAAGGTGGCGTTCACGATCTCGGTGTGCCCCTTACCGATGTCGGACATGAAGTGGGGAACGTTGGAATAAGTGCCCACGTACTCGGCACAGCTGACGCGCGTGTTCTTGTTAGCCTCGGGCAGGTTGATGAACGCGTTGAAGCTGATGGCGGATCGCATGTCAATCTCCATGTCCTCCAGCACCAGGATCTCGTCAGAACCGCTGCCTTTGGGCTGATCCACCGTGATCGTCACCGGCTCCGCTTCAACTTTCAAGGCCTCGGGGTTCTCAGCTGACGCTTTCACCAGCCGGTACTCATATGACGATCCACTCCAGGGCGTCTGTTTCAGTGGCTTGGGCTCGTAGGCGGTCCAGCTCTTGTCGTCAGGCATCGCCTGGTACTTGTACTTGAGCATCTTCTCGTTGTTGAGGGAATCTTTCACCTTGACGCGAACGAGATCTTGGTTCTCGTCAAAGAAGAGGAACTCGGTGTTGAGGTAGTCCGAGTCTGTGAAGTCCTTGTTTCTCAGGGACCTCCACACGTCCCACATCCGATCGACGTTACCGTGGTGGCTGTAGAAGAGAGGGTCTCTACCGGCCGAGTCACCGCTGGTATCTCTACTTCCACGAGAAGATCTTGGGGAGCCTGATCGGGGATCCTAGTTTTGCGCTCCCATTCTGGAGCTGGGACCAGGAGGGCGGGAGGTACATCCCAGACATGTTTCGCCGCGAGACCGCCCTCTACGACGCAAAGCGCAACACGAGTCACTATGAGCCCACACGGGTGGACCTCATCTACTCGCCCGGCTCTGATGTCAAGAGCGACAAGCAGATCCGCGAGGACAACCTCTCAGTCATGTACAACAACGTCGCAAAGGTGAAGCAGCCGGACGCATTCTTTGGCGTCAGGTACGTGCATTCCCATGCATGCGCTCCATTTTAGCAGCCATATATACTTGCAGGAAAGGCAGCGGCAGCAAGAATGGCCCAGGGGGCGTGGAGAGGGCGCCACATAATGCAGCCCTGACCAGCCGAATTTCGAGGACATGGGCAACTTTTGGGGCGCCCTCCTGGCGGTAGCCATAGTTGCAGTAGACGCAGTGGACGTTGGCCTGCTGCCGGAAGCTGCGCGGGTCGTCCGGGCCGAGGGCGCGCATCTTGGCGTAGGCCTCGTTGTACTTGGCGATGTAGTCCTTGTCGACGAGGTGGGCGGCGGGGCGGACGCGCATCGGGCGCGAGTCGGGCTTGAAATCGATGGTGGCGCGCTTGGGCTTTGGCGGGCAGCACGCCCCGCTGATGTCGCCGCTGATGATGGCGGGCTGGCAGCGCTTGAATGTGGGCAGTCCTATCGGATCCGCCAGCCGGGGCTGTCGACTGACGAGGCGAGAGACGCGCCACCGGCAATGGCCCCGGCCAGGAGCTCGCGGCGATCGATCGAGGGCGTCACAGGGGAGGAGTTAGAGTTACATGCATTGGCTTCTTTCCTGGCGTTGGCGGCGATCTTGAGCAGACGCGTGCGGGACGGGTGCTGGAGCTCGAGGCGATCGATCGACAGTACCACCATCCCAGGCGTGCTCGGTAGCGAATACATTGTCAAAGGAGGCAGCTATACAACACACAAGAGTTGATACTTGGTTTTAAAGGGGCGCTCTTGCGATGGCTCTCGTGTCTAATGTGGACGTTGCAACTCATACCCAAGCTTGGATGACTTTGCTGGCTCCGCAGCATTATTGTGGACCTGATCCATTCATTCATATGCTGTTTACAAGGTACTACGCGCGCCCGCCCCCCCAATGAAGCATGAATCCGACCGGTTTAGGAAAGTTGCATGGATAATGTCCGTCGACCTTCTTGCTTCAATGGCGTCCACGTCTTCGGCCCGCCACCTTTTTCCGGTGTCCGTCTTATGTGATCTGGTCCTCAGCTGTCAGTCACGGACTCATAAATAGCTCTTCTACAAACATTTTTTTCATTTAATTGAAGACTCAGCTCCTGACATACGGCGTGAAACACCAACGAAAATAGAGCCCCAACAATGTCCACATAGAAATATGAGAATTCGAATTGCTGTAAAAGAACATGTAAAGTTTGATCTTGGCATTGCTTCAAGAGACAGCCAATTCATCAAAACAAACATGCTGATACACCTAGTGAAGAATAAACATACTAAAACAATATCAAATTTTTTAAAGCCCTGATTTTAGGGTTTTTGAGCTTATGGAGTGGGAGGAAGAGAGGATAGTGGCGCATCTGGAGGTGCTCGTCGCATTTCTGCGTCGCCACGAGCGCCTGTGGAGAGCGCACGTCGTGGAATTCTTCCAGGTATGGCGCATTGCGCGACTTTCCCATTTGCGAGCTTAGAAATTTATGCCAATGCAGGGGCGTTTGTGGGAGATTCTGGACACGCGATGGCTCCTGGCGCTGAGGAGTGCGTCGATGGAGGATCTTCTTCTCCTTCCATCGCATATTTCCAAGGTGAGAGAGAGAAACTCTCGATTCTTTGTTTCTCGCGCATTAATGGATGGCAAGGAATTGTGGCTTTAGGATTGCTGGCCCAAGACGCTCCAGGATTTTCTTGCAGACGCGCGCTCGCTCTCTCTTTCTCGAGAGCTGATGGAGACCTCAAAGGTATTTCCCTTCACAAAACCTTGTCATTCACAACGTTTCTTAGCTTCTCTCAGGCGAATCGCTTCCAAGTGTTATAACGCAGGGCGTGAACGCCAAAAAACTCCACGAGGTATGTCACTCCTCTCCATCGATCGTCTTTGAGAAGACCCGCGTTTAGATTCTTTCCAGATTGAAAGACTTTCTTCGTTGATAGTAAACATCTCTCGCGTTGTCAACGCTACAGAAATCGTGGACGTCGGTGCTGGCCAGGTAAACATCCATCATTCTCCGGTGTATCATTCACGGGCATTTTGTTTCTTCCTAGGGGTATCTTGCGCAAGTCTTGGCGTTCCACCACAAACTTCCAGTAGTCGCAGTAGATTGCTCGGCGCACAACACAACCGTGACAAACAAACGCGCCGACCGCATCCAAAGATACTACGCTTCTCGCTCCGGTAAGCTTGAGTTGGTGCCATTCTTGTCAACCGTTTCAAAGCATCGTGCTACACACAGGTCGTGCTGCAAACCCGGGCCCCAAGACCGCAACCTGTCTCCTTGGATCGGGCAACGAGAATGTGTCGCTGGATGCATTCCTGTCGTCCATCAGCATCCGCAAGGAAGACGAGCAACGTAGCCACGAACAACACTCCATTGTCTTGGCCGGACTGCATGCCTGTGGAGATCTCTCGGCGAACATGTTGAGGTGAGGAGCTCGTGCTCGTCCGTAAGTTTGTCACTCTGTAAACTCTGGGTGTGTTGGCAGGACCTTTGTGAATCGCCAGGACGTCACGGCAGTAATCTCTGTTGGGTGTTGCTACAATTTGTTGTCCGAGAACGACGACAAGTGTGGCTTCCCTTTGAGCAGAGGCATGAAGAGATTGAACTTGCGTCTCGGTGGAGCTGGACGTGATCTTGGATGCCAGGTGATCAGTCCCTTGACTTCCCTGTAAAAAGCTAACAATGGATACTTGTAGAGTGCTCACCGCTGGAAAGATATTGGTTGCGAGATGGCCGTGGCAAACTTCGACGTGCATGCATTCCGGGCTGCTTTTCAGATCGTGAGTGATCTTAATCCGCTCGTTTCTCCTGGTTTACAAACTGGTGGCGTGCGCAGCTCCTCCATCGCTTTTACCCCGGCATTGCCGTCACCAGTCCTTCGGTCGGTCGCATCGGCAAAGCAAAGCGTCGCAAGCAAATGCGAAAGCCAAGCTCTGAGTGCCAAGCATGCCACGGGAAAGGTGGCGACGACGCTGGAAAATTCGTGGCGTTCCAGCACTACTCCGCCGAGGCTCTCAAACGACTTGGCCTTCCCGAGGTCTCGCGGGAGGACTTGGCTGAGATCTGGAAAGAAGTGGAGCCGTTTCAGGTACGCGAGCTTTCTTGGCAGTGGTAGTACTTTACCTCTCGGTTTCAATGCAGGCACTTGTTGCTCCTTTCTGGTCGTTGAGAAGCGCCATAGCTCCGGTGCTGGAGACGTTGCTACTGATGGACAGGCTGCTCTATCTCAAAGAACAGGAAAGTGAAGTTCCGTCTTTCAGCGCCATGCTGCTGCCGGTGTTCGACCCTTCTGTATCGCCGCGTAACATGGCAGTTGTTGCTACGAGGAGAAAATCCGGAGACAAAACTAGTAGTGAGAGCCTGCTTGGCTGATTCGCTGCTCTGCTTCACGGACAAAATCTCTTTCGTTCTG